CAACACGGGCTCTTCAGCTTAGAAATGGAGATGAGCACCACCCCCCAGAGTCAGACACAACTAGACTTAATGTCAGGGGAAACCTTTACCTTTATCTTAAATGCTGAAAATGTAAAACAAGACTGTACAGATTCTCTCTGGAAAAAAATCGAACTACAGGGAATGAACAATCCTGCTCAAAGTAGAGACATACTTTTCTCTGATATTTATGTATTTCTAGAGGGAAGCAGAAACTAAAACAACCAGGCTTGCCATTTTACCATGCCCATTCTGATAATTCTTCACTTATAGTCTATTTCTTGACTTCAGTTCCTCCCAAATAGCTCTTCCTCTTTTCATGTCAGTCATATAGCTAGTAGTAGCAGACCATATTTTCTCTCCATATAATGTAGTTCTCCTTGTCTATACTGTTGACACTCTTTTGTTGATTATGCCAGATAATGAGTTGTAGGCTCAGCTCACTTATATAGCCAGCCAACAAGCTCTGCTTCCTGCAGACATCCTCCAACTGTTCCAATTTGGCAGGAAAAGTCTTGATTAATCATCTGCCACACTTTTGGTGCTGTTTTTTTTAAATATCCCAACTTCTCTTTCCTTTCCCAGTTTCTCCCTTTGCCTTCAACTGACTTCAGTTGCTGCACACTGAGTTCAAAATGCAAAAATAGTTTGTACTCAGTTAACTCAGGGGGGCATGCGGATAGAGGAGAATAGGGGCACAGTCTTTCCCTTTCCAGTATCTCAAGCAGAACCCAAGCCCTGCAGCTTGTGAGTTCTTACCAGCTTCACAACCCTCTGGAATTACATGGCCACACATGTCCTATTTTAAACTGTAAAATGTTGGATAATATGTATTCAGGGGTTAGATACAGTTTCTACCTTCTTTTTCTTAACCTCCCCCCCCCCCAAAAAAAAAATCCCCAAGGGTTAATGTATGACTCTCCAGAATGGTGATCAATAAAGCAGAGGAGAAAGAGGAAACATGGAATCCATGCAAAACTAGAACATCGTTCCAAATGAGGGCTTATCAGGTGCCTTGAGCCGAAGGAAGAGAGTGTTTGAATCTCTGTCAACATGCATTCAATCTTGTGAATGAGAGCATGTGATGGACCTGTTATCTGCAGGTGAATTAGAAACAAAACACCAAAGTACAGTCTACATCATAAGGGTAATTAATTGTTTCTCCTACCCAGAACACACCACACCCCCAGATAATCAGACATTTAATTTTCTTTATAAGCAATTTGCACCTATTACTTGCAGAAATAACTGTTTAACAGAAATATGGTTCCCCTTACTTTATGGCTGAATAGCAAGTAACAATCTGTAAGGGAGATTTGAGGTTAGTCCCTGATTTCACAGGCAGTCTCCTGCAGTTCAGTTGTTAGGGAACTGTTGGGAGTTTTTTTCTTTGTTTTGTTTTAACTTGACACTGTGCTAATCTGGAAACAGAGTTTGCATATTTAAATAAGACTTAACTCCTTCTTTCTTTGTTTCTTGGCAAATGGAGCCTTTTATCTTGGGTAGGTACCATAATGCTGCTTGTTCTCCTGGGATAATGGGTTTAATGAATCATAAAATGCATGCTTTTGCTTATAGTAAAAGACTGCATTTCCTCCGTTTTAGAGCTGTGCAGGCTCTGTGGAAATACAATAACAAGTAAACAATGCAAAAATGCTTAAAGCAAGCCCCTAGATGGCAGGATGGGACTATCCAGCTTTAACCACTCATATGGTTAAGAATGCCATCTCATTGGAAGCACAGGCAATGAACTCTAAAAATAACATATTTAGAATAAACTAGATTAAGGATTAGTCACAAATTATAATTCTGCAAGTTGCTATATTATCCTTGTTATCATGAGATGGTCTGAGTGCTGGTGTTTTGTGGCAAGGGCTTGTTTATTTGACCACAAGTTGTCCACCCAAATGGTACAGTCAGTATAATACAAGCTTCATAATACACTGATCAGCTATAAAAGTTAAGGATGGTTTCATATCATCTCTTTTGCACCTAGAGCTTCTTCTCCTTCAAAAAAGAGAAATGCTAATTGTTCTGGGCCCAGCAATTCCTTGCATATTTTCATTGGAATTCTTCATCTTTCAATTCACAGATATATGCTTGTTTGAAGTTCCCAATGATGCATCATCCAAGCATCAATTGGATACAAGTATGTTTAGCTTCACCAATAGCAGTGAGTACTTAAGTTTGATTTCTGCCCTCTTAACACAGTAGCACATCTCTTGAGTACGAAGCTAAAAATTTTCTTTATCATTCTGTCATCGCCTTGCAATGAAAGGAAATATTTTGTATTCAACCTTTTGTGCGTATATTACCACCATTTTTATTAGAGATATGTATATTTTAACATGTTGGTGACCCATGTTATTCTTAGAAGAACAGCAGGCAAACTGTGGTTGTATATGTCCTTATATATCAGCAAGATTCATTTTGGATATATATGAATTCATTTACATCATTAATCATGCTAAAATAATCCTTGTCCAACTAACTTACAATACTAAGTATGTTGGTCCAGATGTTGCTGAACACAAGGTGAACAAGCATTTGCTCCACTCTTCTTGTATGTTGGAATGTAAGCATGTAAACAATAGCAAAGTAGCTTTCTCTGACAGGTAAATTTTGCAGTTCTATAGAAACACTCAGTCCCACAGGAATTACACAAGATAAATGGCAAGCAGGTGTAACCTGAAAGCTCTAAAATTTGGTGTTCATGGAGACAAGAGTTATGCCAACTTCATTTTGGCTGTGTGTATTATTTGTTTTGTAGTTAGCATTTAATTTTCACGGGATGCTGTGTTGTGCTTAAATCAAACAGGAAATAAATATTTCTTAGAACCTTTGCTCAAAATGGTTCTAAATATGTTCCCATACAGAATTAGCATTTAGGCAAAACTATAGCTTTTCTGTAGCTGATAAATAATTTTGCTGTTACTACTTTCAGAAATGCCACCATTGGTGACAACTGATAATCATAGAGAAATGTGTGCCACCCATCATTTTGAATTTTTTTTAGATATGCACCCCACAAAGAAGTCAATGTTGCAAAATGTATGTGGTATGGGATTTTTGTGCAGAAAAGAAGTTTCCTGCACAGGAAAAAAAATCTAGCACAAAAAAACCCCAGAATCTGGAAAATAAAATTTCTGCACAGAAAATGCTAGTGTTTTTGTACAGAAAATTAGCAGTCATATTTCGCATAAAGTAAGTTTCTGCAGGAAACTAGTTTTCTGTGCAGAAAATGCAGTTCTGCACACATTAAAAACCCATATGTATATGTGCATGTGCATGTCGATTTGCACAGAATACATCTCAAAATGCAAATAATCTGCAAAGAAATTTATACCTTTCTTGCAGTGAGGAGAAAAATGGTAAAATAATTCATTTTTGCCTCAGATAATGAAATTTATATCATTTTACATCTCTAACTTACATAGTTGTGCACAAAGGATCACAGAGAAATCACTGTTGCTTAGCTTATGCTTTGGAAACCAATCTGCTGCCATAGCAGTTTTCTCAATGAGAGTATCTCAATATTACATTACCCTCATTGCCTTCAACTCTTAGGTTTGTGAAAAAGATACTGCCTTATAAATCTTCCATCAGTATTACAATCCCTTTCAGGAAATACAAATAAAAGTCATTAATTAGCAAGGATTCTGAGACTGTGGGAATTTTGCCAGCACTGAGATGTGTTGGCTTCTACATTCATAAAATTAGTTGCTCCAGGGCTGTAGCAAAGCTTTGTGACAGAAACATGATAAAATCACAATGTCCTCATACACCAATTGTAACTCTGCAGGGGAATAATGATAGTTGGCCAACAGGGGCTCAGAAACCTTAGTAAGTATTGGCAGCTTGTCTAATTACTCGTTTCCAACTGCTCAGTTATTTGTTGTATGTTCCTAATGTATCACCAGCTTTTTATTTATTCATGCACATTTTAATTAAGAAATCAAAGCCTATTTTTTAAAAAAATTGTGAGCAATATTTTTCCATCAGATTTTGTTTATTGTAACACTTGATAAAATATGTCAATGAATTGCTTACTGTCAGCAAATTGAATTCTAAAGGAAATGTGCACATCGTATGATATGAAAATCTACTACAGCTCTCAGAATACACCCACCAAACTAAGTGTCAGTTTCCTCAGTGTCTACCAATCAGAAGTCTAGAGTGTACTCACTACTTAATTCTATATCACACACTAGTTCACCTTAACTGTGCTGCAAATTATAATATACTATTTTCCTAATGATTTAAAGAAGATCCCACAAGAAAGTAAGTGCAAGCCAAGGATATTTGCTTCACTATCTTTACTTGAGTGCTAAACACACATACACACCCTGAGATATTGGATAGTTATTTGATATAGGTCACATCTAGAAAAACATTATGTACATTTAAGAACACATGTCTAACATTTGCCTTCCAGAAAGCTGCAGCACAAAATGTTTTGTTCCAAGGTTAAACATTTCATTGCCATTTACAAATGCCCCATACTATTTTTATTTCTACCGTGCATGGCACTGATAAAGACACTTGTCATGGGTCAACTTCTGTGCTCCTTGACCAACCTCCTACATCATTCCATGGCATCTGATATGGATAGTGGACAACAAGAAGTTCATTTGCCAGAAGTAATTATAACCCTAGATATGGCCACACCCAGAAAGACTTCAATCACAAACCAGACTGTACAAACATTCACCCTGCAAATTCATATCTTTACATATTATGACAGATACAATAATCTTGAAATCATACTGTATTCTGGTTGACATAGTTGGACCATGATGATGATAAAACAAACTGAATTGCATCCTGGATCATTTCAGCTAAATAAAACTCATGAAAATTATTCAGAGCCACAGTTCTTCTGAAGAGATCCCAAGCCAAACAGACTGCACCATTTTCACACTCTCCAAAGTAGAGAACCCTCTCTCCCACAGTAATATTTTTCATCATCTTTCTTAACTTACGGTTAAGAAGCAGGCTGGCATTAGTTGTGCCTAGTTTGTTGGCAGCAACACACGTATAGTTGCCGAAATGCTCCTCTGTCACATTGTTGAAATTTAAAAATGATCTTGAACTAAAGCTTTTAATAGTAATCCCTTGTTGTCCATTGATCAGTCTAGAAGGAAGGGAGATAGAAAATATTCTGTTAGAAGCCACAGACAAAGGTATTTGAATTTAAAAAATTACTTTAGTGTGTGGGTGGATAATCACAGTTAGTATAGCACACTGAAATGTTATTGCATTCCACACCCTAAATTTGAATCAGCACAGTTATTAGTGATTTGCTCAGGAGTAAGCAGTTTATCCAGAAGAGGTTTACTCCCTCTCCTCCCCCCCCCTTTCTAAGTCTGCTCCTTGGATAACTCTGGCAATGATGGCAAGCTACAGGTAAACAAAAATGGTGACACTTGCCACCCTGCAATCTGCCCTTCCCTCCCAGAAGCCAGCCTGATCTAGACTGTACACATGTAGTGACACACCGCAACAGATCAGAATTTCCTGGAAACTTAAGGAACAATATATGAGTCTTGGTAGATTACATTATGCAGCTGCCATGACTATGGCAATATCCAACCAAAGGTTGGGAGACCATCTGGAATAGTGTAAGAAGTGGCACTAGAGGCATCAGGGAAGCAGGTAAAGGACAAAAATGTGTAGAGCTCTGCTTCATTGGCATGACTACTTGAGGAAGAGCATACTGGCTTTTTTAAAAATTTAAAATATAGCGAACATCTTCTCTTCTACCACTCACTTGGCCCCTGTCCCCATGTTTAGGGAAAGAGTTAGCTGTATCAAACTAAACTCAATATTAAATCTGAAGTAATTAGCTCACAAGGAGGGTGAGTGCATGATCTATCCATTCTATCATTTTTGTACTCTTCATACTTGGAGGGGAGGAGATATAATGTGAATAGTTGCATGTGTATATAGAGACTTGTCAAGCCATTCAGAGTACTGGAAACAATTAGCCTACTGCTTGTAGAGTAGATTTATATTTAGAAAGTCACCATGTGAGAAGAGAGGTCAATGCAGAATAGGATGACACAACCACACAACCATCCTATTACATGTTTGTTTTACTTAGATTGTATAATAACTTTATAAAATATTACTACATCCCATTTCTCGGAATACGGCATTACCTTTAAAATTCATTGCATTTTTTTAAAAGTAAAAAATCCAAGCAGACCAAGAAGATGCAGAGAACAGATTGAATAATCAATACAAATGTTTTTTTGGGTTGTTGTAGGTTTTTTGGGCTGTATGGCCATGTTCTAGGAGCATTCTCTCCTGATGTTTTTCCTGCATCTATGGCAGGCATCCTCAGAGGTTGTGAGGTCTTTAAAATTAACAATGTTTTTAAATGTGTTTTTGCTAATGGTGGAAGGAGAAGAAAGACATTGGTCACGCATTCTGCTGTTAATGGTATCCCATCTTCAAAACAAATGAATGGATAATTTTGCAACTATGAAGTAATTCCCCTACCCTTGATTTCACTGCTTCTGAAATTGATGCTATTTCCAGTAGACCAATCATAGTTATCAATTTCTTCACCAATAAAGGGTTGATGTGAGAAATACATAAATTGTGGGATTATCTGGCTTTACAGAGGTTGTGGGATTGTAAATCCCAGCAGCCTTCTTCTGCATAGCATTCTGGAGAGCCACAAGACCCCTTGTAAATAGAAAGTTATGGAAAAGCAAATGGAACCCATCTTGCATTATCTAATCAATTTGTTATCAGGATATATATGGCCAGATTCAGATATTGGAAAATCATAGTTAAATATGAAAATACTTAGCTATGCTTGATTACTCGGATATTTGCTTATATTTCATGCTGAAAGCAGAACTCTTGCTTATATAAACAAGTTACCATTTAATTTTGATATATGATGGCAGCATGCAATAAATCTAAGAGAGAGGTACAATTTTTCTTAGCATTCAGCTTAAAAATACATATCTATCATTATTAATGATATAGCTGCATATTGATGATTTAATATTTTACATTGAATTAATGTTCCTATTTTTGTAATTTAATCACTATGCACTTCTGCATATAAAATAGGTTTTAGAAGAGCTCTATATTCCCAAACCAGTAACCGCATACTAGTAGTTCTTGCAAATTTCTGAAACTTGAGAAATTGCTGCATCATCTGAAGATGAAAAAAATAGGAATTTTGCACACCAAATCACTACATGCCTACATGAAAGTAAGCCTTTGCTCAAGGAAGTGGGTCTAAGGTGCAGCTATGTTTAAATTATTCTTTCCTGAAGTATCTGCCTCCTCTAATCTACTTGTACTAAATATGTGTTTTTTTGCTCTGGAATTCAAGTTCACGTTCATCATTTGCAAGTGTTTCAATGTTGTATGATTAATTTGGACATAAGGTCAGAAACTTTCAATTTGTTTTTGCTCCTGTAGCACACCAACCAATCAAGAAAAATAAATACACAAAGAAGTTACAGGAGTCTGAATCAATATCAAAATGATAAATGCACAAACACAAAGTATAAGCTATGCCCTGGTAGCAAGCCATGAGTTCATGAATAATGATGAGGCCAGCACAATCATGAATGCTGAATTGAGAGGATATTTGACTTGGATCAGTTAAATAATACCTTTTTTACACTTGTTGCAAAATGTGCTTCTACAGGTCAATTAAACATGAATGGCCACAAAAATTGAATCATATTGACATGTTGTTGTTCATTCATTCAGTCAGTTCTGACTCTTTGTGATCTCATGGACCAGTCCACACCAGAGCTCCCTGTCGGCCGTCACAGCCCCCAGCTCCTTCAAGGTCAACCCAGTCACTTCAAGGATGCCATCCATCCATCTTTCCCTTGGTCGACCCCTCTTCCTTTTTCCTTCCATTTTCCCCAGCATAATTTTCTTCTCTACGCTTTCCTTTCTTCTCATGATGTGGCCAAAGTACTTCATCTTTGTCTCTACTATCCTTCCCTCCAATGAGCAGTTGGGCTTTATTTTCTGGAGTATGGACTGGTTGGATCTTTTGGCGGTCCAAGGCACTCTCAGAACTTTCCACCAACACCACAGTTCAAAAGCATCTATCTTCCTTTGCTCAGCCTTCCCTATGGTCCAGCTCTCACATCCATAGGTGACTATGGAGAAAACCATTGCTTTAATTATGCGGATCTTTGTTGCCAGTGTGATGTCTGTGATATTGTCATGCATAACATTAAGGCGATTCATCCAAATAAACTGATCTACAGCATATATAGAAGAGATCACAGGCCTGTTTTATCAATGGGTATGTCAACATTCATGCTATGTTCCAATGCTTCACTGGCTTCTCATTATGAAGAGCCTAATAGCAGTTCTTAAGAGTTATGACTTTTTAAACCGAAAACCGTACAGTTATGAGTGCTGCAGACAAGGGGGGATTTTTGATGGCTCATCACATGCACGGAGGCTGGCCATGTATAGCATGCCTCACATGGGCCTTCTTTAATTCACATGACTCACCATCCTGCCCTCAGGGCATTGTGAGTTTATCTGCTTTCCTATTGGAACTGGGTAGAATTCCCCGCACCTTCATTGAATGGTGTGGATAGTTTTATATATACACAACACTATTTCTGGGGAACTGGGGAATTGACTTTTGGATTGTGCCTTCAATTAGGTCTCACTCCCAGGTTTTGGAGGAGACTACCAAAAGTTGGGGTATCCAACAGATTAGTCTAACTTACAAGGTTGGTGTACAGGCAGTAACAGGCCTGGCTTGGAAAAGCTAAGGAAAGTAGAGGGGAGGAGCAATCACACAGTTCCATAGCTGGTGCAGTCTGATTGGCTGATGAAATTGGAGGAGTTGCTTAGCAACAGGAGATGGATGGAGCTAGAGCAAAAGAAAGAGCTATGGAGCCAGAGTTTTGTCAGTTAGAGTTTGGAGTTTGTAGAAGGAGTTAGTTTAGGAGATTTGAAGGAGCAGGAAGGAAGAGTTTTGGGAACTGTTATTAGAAAGATACCTCTTTGAAGAAAGTAATTAAAGCCTTCAGGGAGAAGGATTAAGAAATATAGTGAGCCTCTATGGTTTTAGAGTGCTGGTGTTGAAGCCTCAGAGAAAGAGGATTCAAAAGGTTTAAATAACCTGTTTGTATTCCTGTGTGAAGAACATTGTTTTCAATAAACTCAAGTTATAAAACACTTCTCTGTACAAATAAATCCTGACAGTTTATTGAAATCACTACGCATCTTTAAGGTTCAAGGACAAAATAAACATTATATTCTTGTTTTATTTCACCTGAAGAGTTTGTGTGTCTTCTTGAACATTGTAGCAAGGAGGTGGTCTATGGATCAATAAATCGTGGCAGCAAAAAACCCGTTAATAATACATTGGTGGTAGCAAAGAATTATATAACATCATATTCGTAATAATAAATATAATATATACAGTTGTGGCATTCCCTTGTCCTGCATTGTGTGTGTGTGTTCCCTCAGCTACTGGCTCCATTTCTCTTTGTAAGGTACACCTTGGCACCATTTGGTTGAAGGATGGGGCCCTAGAATGACTTCTTTGGGTTCTGGGGCCTGGGAGTTGGAAAGGGGCCTGTCCTTGGGGCTGACATGGGAGTTTACTCTCCCCCTTTGAGTAATGGGACTTGCGGGGGGGGGGGGCTCCCTAGATCTGCCTTCCATCCAAAATACAACCATCTGGAGTGAGCAGTCCATAGACTGGATTGTCCTCAGGGCCAGGCGTTTTCACCCAAGATAAGACTAGGGATGTTTGTCACATACAGATACCCGCCCCTGATAAACAGCAGTGTTACAGAACTTTGCCCTTCTTTCTTCCCTCCTATCTTCAGAGTTGCTTAAAATTAGTTTCGGAGAGCTTTCTTTCCAACTGGAGCAAATCTTGGGGTGAATGGGAAGCTGTGGTAGAAATCATGGGTGCCCCCTCCTGCTTCCACTGAATTGTGCTGTTCCACTAATTGATCTCCTACTTCTATACCATAAAAATCATTTTTCTTCTGCATAGTTCTCTCAAACAGAAAATATGAGAAATGCCCAATACTTTAATTACACACGAATTCAGTTCATTCCAGTCTCTCAAAACTGGATGTGTTTTTCCAGAGACCATCTGTGAAACATTACTACTATTAAAATCAAGGTATAAAAAATAGCATGGGTAGAATGCATCTTCCCCCTCAGTTAGTTCCTTATTTTTAGAATTATAGATTGTTTTCTTCCCTTCTCCACACATTATTTTTAAGGACACAAAATCATAGTGGAAAATATGTAACTCTTATGCTGTTTCAGGAGAAATTTCTTATTTGCACTGAAGTGCTGCAGTGGCCACATATATCTCACTCTAGAGATAAGACCTAGCTGGAGGACAGTATGCATCAGCTTCCAGCCCCAAGGAATATCTATCTTTAGGCTAATATTTGAATATATTAATAATATTATAATATATTAGGTCATTATAAGAATGTTAGTCTCTGTTATGCTATTTGAAATGTACATTCTTTTTGTTTCACAGGTTTTGACAGAAATGACATTTTAGTGCCAAACTTTTTGGCTGACTCCCTCATTAAGCCTAATGTGCAAGAAGAACATATTGGGCTTCTATTAAATACTGTGCTGTGCAAATTATAACTGCCATGCTAAGTTTATGTTAAATATTTAAGATGCAAGATGCTGCTTTAGTTTGGTTAATCTCAACATTTAAAATAATCAGTTTTCCATTACAGCATTTGGTACTATAGTGGAATAAAGAATTGAGTTTGGGAAACTTTCCAGACATCAATAAATGACATTTGATGTAGTAAAACTGGATATGACAAAACCACTCTGAGTATTCCTTGCCTTAAAAAACCCTATGGAATTCATGCAGTTGTCATTAGTCAACAGTCAACTTGAAAGCACACACACACAACTGGATAACAACACCACAGCACATGACTGACTCCATCCTCTCATGACAAGACAAACAAAACGACAACAAACAAAATTCTTATAAACCCATTTAATAGGTTTATTGAATTGAACTTGCTACATTCATATTGTTCTAGTAATATGGAGACCACAGAGCAATATAGCCATACGAAAGAATGAAAACAGATTTTCTCTACAAACTCACCTTCTTTCTCCTTTGTACCATTCAAAAGCTGGGGAAGGAACACCTGCACTTTCACATCGTATGAATCCAGGCCCTCCAAGCGTCACTCCACTGGATTTTATTTCCTGAATAGTTGGCGAAACTGTAAGGAAACAAAAACATTTGTTACTGAAAGTGTAATGCATTATAAAGTCAGGTAAAACAGGTTGTTCTGATTTATGTTTTTAAATAATACTGTATATTGTTATGTATTTGTTTAAATATACAGTATTATTCAAAATATTGACGTAAAAGCAGGAATAATCTCATTTTTCTGTTCTTTCGTGCATCTTTGTATCCCATTTTGTATACATTATCTTGTGACTCACTTTCATAATGAGTGAGAAACTTGACTATGCAGTCATCCAAATTTGTTGGACAGCCATAGGCAGCACAACCAAAGGTAAAGAATGATGATGATGTGGTTTAACAACATGTGGATGGCTCAGTGGTTCTTGTACCTACCCAATAAGTATCAGGGAGCATCAAATGACATTGTGTGTGTGTGTGTGGGGATATATATATATATATATATATATATATATATATGCTAAATTAATTGTGAAATGTAATTTATGTGCATTGCAAAACATATAGGAACACAAACCTAAAAATAAAATTCATTTTCCAACCTACATTCCATCTGATCTAATATTGGTACAGATATGTGAACCTATTTCTCATATTTGTCATTGGTTCATAACCACACCCATCTTTCTGCTTGTCATATAAAGACCCTATCAGCTTTTATATTTCCAGCTACAGTGTAACCAAAGAAGGCAGGTCAATCAATCTTGGCATTCTTTTGTTGGGCTTACTGGAACACCATCAAGTAAATTATTTGAAAACTCTTTAAAAACGTGTAAACAGGAAGAAGATCAGCCAAACAAGCCTTTGAATAATTACAAACTGATATACAATAAACATTGTTTACACTAGGGTAATATCAATCAGTGATTACTTGTGAGCAGATACAGGCAGAGTATAACCAAGTGAAGCCAAGTACAGAGTCAGTGTGGATCAATGATTTCAGTGCTGAATTAGGAATCAGAGTCAAATCTCTATTCAGCTACAGTATGTCACACTCCTTCGGCTTTAGAGGAAAGAAATGACAAACCATTTTGGAATAAATCTTGCATTAAAAACTGTGCACTATAATAAGATCTCTGTAAACTGGGGATAGTGAATCAACCAATCTGATGTAGTGCATTTATTTATTTATTTTGAATGGTTGTATCCTGTCCTTCTCAACCCCCAAGGGAGGGGGGGACTCAGGGTGGCTTACAACTGGCAACCATTAGATGCCAACAAACAAACAATCACAATACAGACAGTTTGACATTAAATAAAACAACAAGTTTATAAAATACATTAAAATATTGACCATTAAAATTAAATACAACCAAGTCTAAGTCCCCAAATACAAATCATAATCTAGAGTTCCAGTCCAAGGTCTATTCATTGACAGTTCTCGTAAGTCATTACAGCTGCTGCTTGGTCAGCTGCCTGAATGCTTGGTCCCAAAGACAAGATTTAAGCTTTTTTTCTAAAGGAGAGGAGAGAGGAGGTTGCCCTGATTTCACTGGGGAGGGCATTCCATAGACAGGGATCCACCACTGAGAAGGCCCTGTCTCTTGTTCCCACCAACCGTGCTTGAGAGGGTGGTGGGATCGAGAGCAGGGCTTCCCCTGACAATCGTAAACTCCAAGATGGATCATTGAAGGAGGTAAGTTTGGACAAGTAAGCTAGGCCGGAACCATATAGGACTTTATAGGTCAAGACCAGAACTTTTAATTTTGCTTGGAAATGGACCAGCAGCCAGTGGAGTTGATGCAGCAGGGGGGTCTACATGAGTCTACAACCCTGGAGACCAGGGTTCAATTCCCTACACAGCCATGAAAACCCACTTGGGTCTGTCACATGCACTCATCCCCCAAAATCCTACGATTGGTTCACATTAATTTTGCTGTAAATGGGAAATGACTTGAAGGCATACAACAATAAAGTTTGGAAGTGACTTGAAGATACATAACTTAACATATAACATAGCACTATGTGGACATTGCCAATTGATTGGGTGCTTTGAAACACTTTGTTCAAAAGAATAGTTGAGATGATCAAATAACATTTTGATACAGATACTGGAAAAACTAAATGCCTTATTCACAGTTCAGGTATTTAGTCATATGAAGTGGCATAAAGGGTCAGTGTCATCTATTAGAGAGAACGTCAAACTAAGGCAGTCTCATTTATCCATGAAAGTGTCCTAGTCATCATCTCTAAATTCATTTTTTCCCATAGGTTTGTTAAAAAGGATGGTTAAAACTCTGTTCTGAGGATAAAAGAGAACAATATTGGGGTGAGACTTGGGGCAGCAAAGTTCTAGTCTCCAGGGGCCCATGAAATTGGCTTGGTGACCTTAGGCCAGACATTCTGTCTTGGGCCCTCATAATCGCATGATTATTGTGAACATGAAATGGGGGAGACTGACATTGAAGGGACTCATAGGAAAAAAGCAAGATTTAAATGCAATACATTTTAAATAAATAGTTAAAATAAAATTGAAAAGTGTAAACTTGCATGCCACTAGCATTTTGTGTGTGTATGTCTATGCAGACCATCATTTTGTGCACTTTCAGAGAATTATAACACTCAAAATACCGTATTTGCTCAAGTCTAATGTGCCATCAAATCTAATGCACACCTCAATTTTCAAAACCCCGAAACTAAAAAAGAAAAAAGAAAATTTACCATATTACGTGAATCTAATGTACACCCTAATTTTGGGAAGATAATTTAGTTTTGAAAGGTGAGCATTAGAACCAAGTAAATGCAGTAGTTTTGATTCAATAAAGAGTGACTTATGTTTGTTCTGAAATCTCACAGGAATTAGAAGGTCACCACAGGTTTTATTCTCAAGTATTTAACCACATATTTCCTTGAGAAAACAAGATGCCTTAATTTTTCATTCCATGGGATAGGAGAACTGTTGATTTAAAATAAGTACAAAAACACATAATTTGAACATTTCCCCATTTGAATTGTTCATACCTTCTCACAATTTAAATGGAAACCCTAACACTGTACTGTACTATAGTTACAAGAAAACAGTGCCTATTTTCCCACAGCTTAATATTGTACTCAAAAATGCAAAAAACAAAACAAAAAAACATGTGAGATAAGGAGAAAGAAAAAAAGGCAGAGCATGAAGTTTAAATTCCTATTTACAAGCATGCTCTGATTCTGTAAAACTTTCTGTACCATTGTTTTCATTTGGTGCTAATAGTGAAGGCTACAGTCTAGACTATATCTTTTTCTATCTTGACCAATATACATGCACATTTTAGATTATTCCATATATTTTTAAATGATATAGTATCTGGTGTGATAAATCTGAATCCAGGGTGTACACTGGATTTCAGTAGCATTCTGAGAATTACACGGTACACCATAAATAGCAAATCTGTTTAGAAAATGTGGTAGAAAATCCTTGGATTTTATGATTCAGAACTGTTTGAAGGCTGAGAAGAGCTAATATTAACTATTTAGTTTAATAGCAAGTCATCAAAGACTCACATGCTAAATGACTTTAGGAGTACAGCAAAATTTCTGAGTAGATTATTGGTAATGTACCAGGCTAGCAATTTGGGATCCCTGCTGCTTCCTCAGCTATTGGAGACATGGAATAATTCTGGATGAAATTACACCTGAAAATATCTACTAGTTTATGATTATTTTTGCTTGTTTATTGAAAAGAGAAACAAGGAAAATATACTAGCTGAGTTATGACACACTTTTCTCTTAGTTTCAAGGAATAGTTGTTTTGTAGATAATATGAAGCTGCACTACTTCTAACGTTAAGATTTCCAACTTCTTTATGGCAGCAGGACTCCTGTCCCTTCTAAATAAACAAATAAATTAAACATCTGTGAGAAGCAGGAAAACAGCAGGTGGTGTTTTCCTCACTACTTCACATGCTGAATTTATGGTCATCATGCAATAATACTACAAACAAGAGCCATACTACAAACTTGAAGACAACACTCTCTGCAGGAAAGAAACATTCTGAAATAAAGCAGCAGTATATTAGATCCACTGGACAGTGGGTGATCCTCAGACATCTTTCAAAAATTCCTTTCTGGTGAGGTTGAAGTAGAATTGAAGAGTTAAACTTCTTTTGAAATGTGTTTGCCTCGAAGTTTCATACTGGAGTAGGGACCCCCCCCCCCAAAAAAAAATTATAGCCTTGGCATTTTGGATGCAATCTCTTAATGTTATCTTGAAAAGGGGTTCCCTGTTGTTTTTGATTAGTTGTTTGGATCAAGATTTAAGACTGATAAAAACATTTTTCTTGAATCCATTCCACTTTTTTCATTACTCCCCAATTTAAAGCACTGGCTGGAATCCTGTTGGGCAGTTTCAAATAACCTAAAGTTGAACATTCATGACTATTTCATGTTTGCAGTCCCTATATGGTCATTAGTTCAGAGGATGTGCAGAGACAGTGAAATCTCCTCCCCCCTAATTTTCCACTTTATGAGAAATAGCTGCTATGATGTAGCAGGTAGGACTTTTAGTCAGCTGCTTCCTAATTGACAAAGTAACAGATTCCTATCAATTGGACCAGTGGATTCCTGATAAGTTGGAACTAGAGAGGATAGGATTTCCTGAGAAGCACTGTAATGATAATTTTTACACAAATATAATTCTCTATTTTACACATACATAAATCCTAAACTTTGCTGTTTGGCCAGTACTGCACCACCTGATGTCCATCAGGAAGTAGCAATGAAAGAACCAAGGCATTGTTGGGAATCAGCCTGTGTTTGTGTTTCATAATGCTCAGGATCATGATGCTCTTGATGTGGGACATGATGAGGGAAATGATGGTGCTGAGGCTGAGGTGCAAGATGGAGATGGTTTGGTAAATGATTTTCATGCAGACAATGACAGAGAGGCCCCAATGCAAAGGGCAGTTTCTCATGAAAATATTTCTGCTGGGCCTAAAGATGATGATTTACTCCCTCTTTCTGTGAGCTCTCAAGATTTGAGTTTGAAAAACAATCTGACACCTGGAAATTTTAATGAGCAGCCAGAAAGGGA